TTGTTCTTGCCCTCACTGCCATTGAGGATCTGGAGCTACACTCAGTCGACATCTCCTCCGCATTTTTGCAGGGCGACTTGGATGAAGAGATCTACATGCAGCAACCTGAAGGCTTTGCCCAAGGTCCCCCTGGCACAGTCCTGCGTCTAGGCCGTCCTCTCTATGGCCTCAAGCAGGCTGGCCGCATGTGGAACAAGAAGCTGCACCAGGTGCTCACCTCCATGGGCTTCAAGCGGCTCGAGTCTGACCGCAGTGTGTACATCTATCTGCGAGATGAAGTGCGCATTATCATCCCTGTGCATGTGGATGACCTCACTCTGGCCTCCACCTCACGCGCTGCCATTGACAAGACGGTCGAGGAGCTGTCTCAGCACTTCAAGCTGCGCAACCTTGGTCCCACCACATTCCTGCTGGGCATTGAGATCACCAGAGACCGCAAAAAGCGCACCATGTTCCTGTCGCAGCGGCAGTACATCCTGGACATGCTGGAGCGATATGGCCTCACCAGCTGCAAAGCAGTGTTGACCCCAATGGAGCCTGGCCTTCGTCTTTCCAAGCAGCAAGCCTGTCAGAGCGATGAGGACCGCGCCTTCATGCAGGACAAGCCCTACCTCAATGCAGTCGGCTCCCTCATGTATCTGGCCATCACCACTCGCCCTGACATCCAGTATGCTGTTTCCTGTCTTGCACACTTCAACTCCTGTCCTGGACCTGCTCACTGGGCCGCAGTCAAGCACCTCTTTCGCTATCTGCAGGGCACCAAGGACCACAAGCTCGTCTACAGGCCTGACGACCTGGGTGCACCCTTTGTGACCTTCACAGACTCTGCTCATGGTGACTGTCCAGACTCTGGACGTTCCACCAGTGGCTACTTGGTCAAGGTTGGCTCAGGAGCGATCAGCTGGTCCAGCAAGCTCCAGTCCATTGTCGCACTTTCGACTACAGAGGCTGAGTATGTTGCTGCAGTGGATGCTGGCAAGGAAATACTCTGGATGCGCAATCTCATGGCCGAGTTTGGCTACACAGTGGATGCTCCCTCACCCTTGCAGATGGACAACCAGTCGAGCATCAATGTGTCCAAGAATCCTGAGCACCATGGGCACATGAAGCACCTCGACCTGCGCACTTTCTGGCTCAGAGACACTGTGGAGGCTGGGCGCATCAAGCCCTGCTACATCCCCACTGCAGACATGCTTGCAGACTGTCTCACCAAGCCGTTGCCTGCACCCAAGGTCGCATTCTGTCGCACTGGGATGGGTATTGAGGTGTCCTAGTCTCCCTGTGGGACTTGGCAGATCAGGGGGGGTATGTCACAATGTGCTCTGCCACAGTCCCCTGGTCGGGCTAGGACAATCCCCCAGTGGCGGGAGCCACAACACCATGTGGTCACATGGTTGTATCAATTGCGGAGCAATCGGACCGGACCAGAGCTCCAGCCACACTTCTTTTGTTCCATTGTTCCTGTGGCCAAGTGGCCCTTGTTCTCCTTTTGGACTGCTTTGTTCTTTTCCCTATTGTTCTGCCGTGGGAATGCTTTCCCCTGCTCATGTATATAAAGACCTGCTGTAGCGTCCTTTAATCTACACTTCTGTGACCCACTTCGACTTCAGCCCCTCTTGTGGCATTCAGTCCCTCAGTGCTAGTCCTGTGCAACTGCTCCCTGCATCGCCTTTTGATACGAGGTCCCCAGTTCGCTTCGAAATATCTCCATGCAGTGTACAAGGGGCTGGGAATCGAGCCAGCGCTATCTACCACATTTCACCCTCAGACAGACGGCCAGACTGAACGCTGGAATCAGGAGATTGAGCAGTACCTGTGTGCTTTCACCAGCCACAGGCAGGATGATTGGGTGAAGCAGTTGCCGCTCGCAGAATTTGCATTGAACAACCGAGTTCACTCCGCAACTGTCACGACTTGGTACAGCGTCTAGCCGTTTTTTAATTTTTTCCCTTTCGCGGGCTTGAACCCGCGACCTCTGTACTACCTGCCTGATACAGACACATCGTTATCTACTGTATGATTAAATTAGATAGGACGGCAGCGTGCAGCACAGCTCGGGCTCCGCTGACACAGCCTCCCCTAAACTCTCCCTGTATATAAGCCTGTCTCTGCTGCCCTAGGGACCTCAGTTTCGACCTCTTGTCCCTAGGTCAGTAAGCCCCTGTACTTACTTACCCTTCAATAACTAACTAACTTGTCCCTAGCCTTAGGTTTGAGCCCCGCTCACCATCGCTTCAGTAAGAACTAAGTCAAACGCCCTCAGCGCCTTGTTTGGTTTTCTCCTGTCGCTTGACCCTATGTCGCGACATTAGGTCAAAACTCCTTACTGCTGCCGGCATTCACCGGAACACACTCACTTTCTCACTTCCTATAGGTTAGGTGGTGCGCACCCCTACTGTACCCTACGATATGTAGATAGCGTACGATACATCGCCACCACTTAAGGGACGAACTCTTCGGTATCTGCACTTCAGTGGGCGGTACTTGTCCTCACGGATGCGTGGCTTAGGTTCCTGCTGCATAATAGTCAAAAGCAGTACTGGGCCCCATGTGAACTGTGAACCTTAGTGTTATCCCGGGCGCCATAGGTGTAAGCTAGTATAGCATGGCCTTTCGTAGTACGCGCACCTCCCCTTCCTCCCCCCATCCAACGTGGCTGCCTGTCAAGGCCAGATTCACGCATTCGACTCTCAGGATCTCATCGACGTCTACATCCTAGACGGCCCTGAGACTATCCTCTACTGTTGTGAGCAGCAGCTGTGCCCAAATCGGACACCCCGATCGATCGAGGAAGATTACCCTCGTTACACGGCGATCCGACAAGTGCAACATCCGCTCGGTCCTCGAAGCACCCTTGCATCTCGATCGGCCTCGCGGCACTCTCGCCCTGTCTCCCCCAGCTCCCGCCTCCCTCAAACTGTCGTCGATCCAGGTCAAACACAAGGAGATCTCCCTCCAGACCCTGCGCCAGAGCCTGAGCCTGAGGAGGGTGACAGTGAAGAAGGAGTCTCGGAGTCCGAGTCCGCGGATCCTGCTCGGCCCGCCTCGCCGACAGCGCTCGCCCCCGCGTCAGCAGTCCCTGACGTACGTAACCCCTCCCCCACACTTTCTTCGGCGCCTTCACCGCCGACTCCGCTGAGAGGCCGCTCAAGCACTTGCTCCTCTCGAAGTTCGACCAGTGGAAGGCCACCACAGCCACCTCCGCCCCCACAGCGTCCTCCGTCCCCCCCAACGCCGATAATGTCGTCCCCTGCCGCCGTCCCCAACAAGGAGATGTTGAAACTCCTCCTCCCACTCCGATACGACGGCAAAACCGTCATTGAGTATAACCGGTTCCTATCACAGCTGCGCATCTACTGGTTGATCAACACGTCGTTGACAACCATCGAACTCAAGGTGCAGGTTGCGCTTAGCCTGCTCGACAGAGATGCCCGCGCCTGGGCCACTCCATACTTTGCCCAACTGGCATCGGTGCAGATGGGCGTGCAAGGGGCTACGACCCCATTCGCAAACGAAGCGGCCTTTGCCCCACCGCCTTCAAGGCCCACTTCGGAAATCTCGACGACGAGGCGGCAGCACAAGTAGAGCTGGCGAAGCTCTGCACAGACAAGTCGGTCCGTGAAAAATGCACTGCTGCGGAATTCTCCACGCTGTTTAAGGGTCCGGCGGACCGCTCTGGGTATGGGGACCTGGAGCTATGCGACAAGTACCTGAGCGGCATCCCCTCCCGCGTGTACCGAAAGATCGAGCTTGAGACCTTCACCACGTGGCAAGCAGCTGAGAAGCGCGCCACTGAGGTCAAGCAGATCCTCGACATCAGCTGGGCCCGTCGGCCCGAGCTGAACAACTTCTTCTCGATGCGGGGTCGAGGACGCGGAGGGGCACGTGGTGGTGCACCCCAATCTCACGTAGCTTTGGCCAGCATCAACGCGGCCATCAGAAAAGGCAACTTCCCCAGCACATGCTTCGGCTGTGGGAAGCAAGGGTACCGACGCTTCAAGTGCCCCAATTGTAAGGACAAGCCTTACACAAAACGCGCCAACACGCGGGCTATGGTTGCCTCGGGATCCACCCAGGCTGCGACAAGCGCCCCTGTCACGACATCACCCTCGGCAAGTATAAGTGCCGCTTCAGCGAAGTCTGAGCAATCGGAGCTGGCGGACTTAATGGCACAGGTGAAGTCGATGCGCGAGGAGCTCGAGCACTATCGGGCGATGAAGGAGGAGGGTTTTTGATCTGGTCCGCGCTTCGTGCCGCACGCGTCGGGCCGCGTATATCCTGTAATAAATATGATGTATTGTCGACTGCAATAGTGTATGAGTTGGACCAGGGGTCCCAGCACTTTCACATCCCAGTTCGACTCCAAGGGAAAAGACGGCACAAGGACATAATCGCTATGGTGGACAGCGGGGCCACCACGAAGTTTATCAACAAGCGATTCATTGAAGAGAATAAGGTGCAAATGCGGAAATTGAAAGAGCCGATTCCACTGTACAATATCGACGGCACCCTCAATAAAGACGGAAGTATCTCGGAAGTAGCTGTGCTACAGATGCAAATAGGAGAACACATCGAGAAGACGGTGTTTACGGTCACGGACATCGGTCCAGAAGATGTGATCATTGGGTTGGATTGGCTGCGTGAGCATAACCCTGAAATCAATTGGGAGTCAGGCTCCCTCAAATTATCACGATGTCCTGAAACGTGCAGTGCTGGAAAGACTGGCCGAATGGAGCAAGCAGCGACTGCGCGTGATACAGAGGTCAGGCCCACAGTGCGCAGGCATTCACCGAAGTCCAAACGGTCGGTTATAGGTGCTTGCCGGAGTAAGGTACTCCCGGACTTCGAACCCGAAGAAGATCCGGTGGAGGTAGAGTGGGATGAGGCCGATTTGATCGAAGCCTGGGAGCAAGGTATCACGCTTCCTGGTGCTCCTCAGCTGTTCATTGCAGCAGGACATACGTACTCCCAGCTGTTCGCTGAGGAGGAGATCAAAAAGAAGGTCGTTAAGACCGCCGAGGAGTCGGTACCTAAACAGTACCACGAGTTCCTGAATGTCTTCTCCAAGGAAGCATCAGAACAGTTACCCGAAAGGAAGCCTTATAATCACGCGATCAAACTCGTACCCGGCTACTCGATGTTCCACTTGAAGGTGTACCCTCTGTCGAACAACGAGCAGGAGGAGCTTGACAAGTTCCTCGAGGAGCAACTAGCGAAGGGCTACATACGGGAGTCGAAATCGCCCATCTCGTCCCCTTTCTTCTTCATCAAAAAGAAAGAAGGGACTCTTCAACCCGTGCAGGACTACCGCCGGTTAAACGCAATCACCGTCAAAAATCGCTATCCCCTGCCGCTGATCACCGAGATGGTAGATAAACTGCGCGGAGCCACACTCTTCACCAAGTTCGATGTTAGGTGGGGCTATAACAATGTTCGGATCAAAGCTGGTGACGAATGGAAAGCCGCCTTCATAACTAACCGGGGGCTGTACGAACCCCTGGTGATGTTCTTTGGCCTCACCAACTCCCCCGCAACCTTCCAGGCAATGATGAACGAGATCTTCCATGACCTCATTGTTGGTGGCAAGATCCTCGTGTACTTGGATGACATCCTCATCTTCTCTACCAACAAGGAGGAGCACGAGAAGGTCACGCACGAGGTTCTTCGTCGCCTTCAGGATAACGACCTATTCCTGAAGCCTGAGAAGTGCAAATGGGATGTTCCCAAGGTCGACTACGTCGGCTATGTGTTCAGTGGCGATGAGGTAGCGATGGATCCCGCGAAGCTGAAAGGAATCAATGAGCAGCTGGTACCCCGGAACAAGAAAGATGTTCAGAAGTTCCGGGGGTTCTCCAACTTCTACCGCCGCTTCATTAAAGACTTCGCTAAGATCTCGCGACCACTCGACCGGCTCACAGGGAATGACCCATGGCATTGGGGCGAAGAGGAGCAGCATGCCTTCAATGAGCTCAAGCAGCTCTTCGCGACGACTCCAGTCTTGGCATTGTATGACCCTAATCAGGAGACGCGTATTGAGGTTGACGCCTCGGGCTATGCCACTGGCGGCGTGTTGATGCAGAAGCAGAATGACGGCAAATGGCATCCCATTGCCTTCCGGTCTCACACTGTGGACCCGGCCCAGCAGAACTACGAGATCTACGATAAGGAGATGCTTGCGATCATTGAGGCGCTAGACGATTGGCGCCACTATCTCGAAGGGTTACCCAATCAGTTTGAGATCGTAACCGATCATAAGAATCTCGAGTACTGGCGTACGTCACAGCACCTCACGCGCCGACAGGCACGCTGGTCGCTGTTCCTGGCTCGCTTCGACTTCCGCATCATACACAAGGCCGGAACGTCGAATGGAAAGGCTGATGCCCTCTCCCGCCGATCAGACCATCAAATCGGCGATAAGGACGATAACACCGATCAGGTGGTTCTCAAGCCGGAGCACTTCCGCATCGCCTCCGCTAGGTGCGGTCATGCCTCGGTGACGGCCGATCAGTCGCTTCTGAAGCGCATCAGGGAATGTTCGGAGAAGGATCGGGAGGTGGCCGAGGTGCTTGAAAAGGTGCAGGACCTCAGGCCGCCCCAGCTGCAAAGGGGTTTTGAGGAGTGGAATGCCAAACAAGGGCTCCTGCTGTTCCGCGGGTGTGTGTACGTCCCAAAGAATGCGGAGCTCCGGCGGGATATAGTCAAGATCCACCATGACTCGCCGATCGCCGGTCATGGCGGTCGTGCCAAAACTCTGGAGCGCGTATCACGGAATTACTGGTGGCCTGGAATGTCCAAGTTTGTCAATGAGTACGTAAGCACCTGTGACGTGTGCAACCGTACCAAGACATTCCCAGCCAAGCCCCAGGGCCCACTGAAGCCAAACGAGATCCCCGAACGCCCGTGGCAGATCATCACGACTGATATGATTGTCAGCTTGCCGAAGTCTGATGGGTTCGACTTGATCCTGGTCACTGCCGACCGCTTTACCAAGCAGGTCCACTTCTTGGCCTGTCATGAGACCCTGACGGCAGAAGGTGCGGCAGACTTGTACATCTGTGATGTGTTCAAGCATCATGGGGCCCTGGCCAAGGTCATATCAGACCGAGGTCCCCAGTTTGCTTCGAAATATCTCCACGCGTTGTACAAGGGACTAGGGATCGAGCCGGCACTGTCCACAGTGTTCTACCCCCAGACAGACGGCCAGACTGAGCGCTGGAATCAGGAAATCGAGCAGTACCTGCATGCTTTCACAAGCCACAGGCAGGATGATTGGGCAAGGCAGTTGCCACTCACGGAATTCGCACTGAACAACCGAGTTCACTCTGCGACCGGGCACTCCCCCTTCTTCCTGCATCAGGGGTACCATCCTGAGATCCAGGTTTGGATCAATCCAATGTCCGCAATGCCCGCTGCTGCCGATCGGCTCAAGACCCTGAAGGAGATCAGGGACGACACGTGCTCTGCGCTCGAGCTGTCAGCTGAGCGCATGAAGGTGTACTACAATAAGTACGTGCAGGAGGCACTGGTCTTCGTGCCAGGGGACAAGGTCTGGCTTGATGCCTGGAACCTTAAGCTGAAACAGCCGAGCAAGAAGCTCAGTCCCAAGTGCCTCGGACCATATGCCGTGCGGCGAAAGCTCAGAGACTTGGACTACGAATTAGTCCTGCCGAAGTCGGTGCCGGTGCACCTGGTGTTCCATGTCTCCTTGCTTAGCAAGTACACGCGTAGTGATATCCCGGGCCGGGAGCCGGAGGAGCCGCCTGCGATCGAGGTTGAGGGCGACGAG